GGCCGCCTATCCCTGACGTGCAGGGTCCTGGAAGCCCAAGTGCCGAGCAAACCAGAAGCCAGCGGGATGTGGATGGCGGGAAGAGATCTCGCACCGCACCCACACTTGGATACTCAAGCCCCTTCCAAACACTTGGTCAGATGGTACTGCAACCTTGGAGCTGTGTTCTCCAGGCTCAAAGGTCTCCAGGTTCTTGCAAGACAACTCGGTAGCTGCCCAGGAGGCCATGTCGCTCCCCCGCAGCACCGGCTCCAGCCTCTAGAACCGGGAACTGCCCTCTGGGACCTGTCCTAAAATGGGCCGGAGCTCTGGCCGGGGGCGGGGGGTGGTTAGAGCGTGAAGAGGCAGCTGGGAAGCACGGGTGGCAGGAAGGCCAGGCTGCCACACATTGCCCTGGGGGGCTGGCCCAGGCCTGTGGTGGCTCTGAATACGTGGGAAACAAGCAGTAACAAAAACAAGTTCTGAAGGGGAGAGAAAAGAGTTTTTTCTGAAAACAAAAGTGTATAGTAAAGACTGCCACCAGGTCATGTCCGTCTGCTGCAAGGGCCTCGAACAGGTGCTGGGCGCTGTGACCTATAGCCTCCTCCTGTACTCACACGGCTCCTCCACAGCTCAGGCTCAGAGAGGCACACCAACTTACCCCAGAGCCACACAGCGGGTTATGTGGTTACACTGCAGTCAAAGTCAAGGGGCGCCTGGGTGGCTCAGTTAGTTCAGTGTCCGACTCCAGCTCAGATCATGATCTCACAGTTCGTGGGTTCGAGCACCGTGCCAGGCTCTGTGCTGACAGCTAGCCCAGAGCCTGGAGACTGTTTCAGATTCTGTGTCTCCCCCTCTCTCCAACCCTCCAGTGCTCATGCTGTCTCTCTCTCTCTCAGAAATAAATAAAACATAAAAAAAAATTTCCTTCAAGGGGCCTGTGAGCACCGGTGGCTGGAGCATCCTGCGAGGGAGCGGCGAGCGCCCGCTCCCAGCCCAAAGCAGTCACAGACAACGTGCACACAAACAGGCACCTCAGCACTCCCGTCAAACTCGATCTGCAAAACAGGCAAGATGCCTGACGGAGGGTAGTTTTGTGACCACTGCTCTAAAGCAAGCTCATCGCTGTCCTGCTGCGCAGGAGCGACCACAGGCTGCCTGTGCAGAAAGAGGAAGCGCTCTGCAGGGACGCCCGTTTCCTCCGGGGCTGTCCTCCGATGGCCGACAGCGGGGTGTGGGGGGAACCGTAGGCCCAGGCCCGGTATCTCATGCCCTGAAGCAAGCTCTTCTCGGTCAAGGCAAGTCCCTTCTCAGGGCTTAAGGCCTTGACTCATGGGCTGGTGCAGGTCTGAGGGCCATCTGGTTAGGTGCCCTGTGAAGAGGAAACGTGGGCAGCGCCGACAAGCACCTGCTGTCCTGGTGGGGAGAGGGGGCGGAGAGGCTGCTCCCAGCTCAAGAGGGGCCCCTCCCTCGTTCAGGCCCCAGACCAACCACGGCACGTGGTCGGGGCTAAGAACATGCTCAGAGCCACATCCTCAACCAAAGTGTGAAATGAAATGCACCGAAGTCTCAGGACACCCACTCAGGGCCTCAGACAGGTCGACACGGCTGTCACTGGTGCCCGGGATGCTCTTAAGAATTTGGGGAGTTAGCCTTTCGCCTCTGATTTGGTTACACGGAACATAATCTGCTCTTTCCACTCCGAGGAATCCCCACTTCTCTTGCCAAGCGACTTTAAAGTTCGTACTTCCACCCACATCCCGCGTCACCTCACCCTGTCTGTAAAATCCCTTCTACTATCTTTCCAACTGAAACTCTATCTGAAACCCTTGCCAACAGCGAGTATACCCGGAGCGAGCCCAGGCAGAGAACTGCGAGTGACATGTGGGACAGCCCCACCCCTCTCAGACCCATCTGACGCCACAGCATCTGCAACAGCATCTGCAACGCCGAAGCCAGGACAATGGCCCTGTCAAAGGACAAAAGCTCATGTTTTCTCCAGGCCTGGCTCAGCAGTAGAATCTGAACACACCTCAAATCCTACTTAATCTGAGTGGTTTCAAACCACCAAGTAGCAGTATTTCCTGTTTTCCTTTTAACTCCTAAAGCATCTCCACACTAAAACAGGGGCTGATTCAGCTCTAAACAAACTCTAACCTGTTTTCAACAATGTCTAATGGGCCAGGTACCACGGAATACAAAGAGACTTAATCCAAATGAATCACGTGTAAAGTATTTACAAAGCACTTCCGGGAAGAAGAATCACGCCTGGCCTGCCCCTTACAGGAGCCTGGGAGAAAGACGGCCCAGGGCAGCAGAGCAGATACTGAAATGAACGCCCCAGACACCCCAGACACAGCCCTGCTGGAGGAAGGCCCAGGAGGAAGTGGGGATTCATGCTTGGGCTGTCTGTAAAGAGAACTGCACGCCAGCACTGGGCCCAGAGTCAGAACCCGAGACAAAAGGGCAAGGGTTTGGAGCTCAGAAATGGTGGACGGCGGTCCCCAGCTCAGTCCTGAGGCAGGGAACGTGGGCTGGGGGGAGGGGGACTAGTCGCACCCCGCCCCCACTCTCCCCAACAACCTGTCTGTCCACCATCTGTCCTGGTCTCCCACACGGCTTCCAAGCTTCAAGGCACTCTCCCAGTGAACTCCCAGCCCATCGGTTTCTGAAAGCTTCCTGGTCTCCCCCTTCTCCCCTTCAAGACCCCACCCCCACCCCCTAGCCAAGCACCAGCCTGCTGGAGCCCAGGAGCTCAAGAGATACTAGTCAAACGCCCAGCAGGAACCTTCCACCAGGTCAGTGCTGACGTCCAGCCCTAGGGATATCTGCCAGGTGTGCTTTCATTCATTTCAACTATGAGCTGAGGGCTTCGAGGCTTTTACACGTGAACCAACATCCTGTTTCTTGTCCATCAGGGAATCACTGGCAGCCTACTCCTCCCAACAGCCTTCTCCGCCATCATCCTCTGCGTCCTCGCTCAGGGTTTAATTATCTAGGAGCGAACCTGGGAGATGTTCTTTCATCAGAACCAAGAGGTGGAAAGCTGAGAAGACTCAGTATCTTACACATTTTTTTTTCTCATTTGAATTAAAAGCACTCAGCCACCATGACTGGTGTGAATTAACACTACTCTTCCTGGTAAATTCCCATTATCCATGATTAAAAACTAACCCTTTTTTACTAACAACTATTTTATGAGACAAAAACTGAATCTGCTGCTTCACATACTAAATTTCGGCTTTACAATTTGGAAATCAGATGTGGTTAAGTGGATGATGACAGAAAGCAACGGCCACACGGATATATTCTGATAGATTAATTACATCGCCCAAAGGACGATTATTACAGTAATGAATAATTTTTTAAGTAGTCTTGAAACAGCAAAATAAAGGGATGAATTGGCTTAACTGTGCAAGCTATTGTTAATTGGCTCTCAACTGTTTTAGGGAACAGACTGCCTCAAAAAAAGAAAAGAAAGAAAAATCCAGTGGACAAGAGCAATTTCAAACCTGATTCAATACACAAAACAGGAACTCTCAAGTAGAAATGCAGTGAATGGCCACTGTGACCCTCTGTTTTTTAAAAAAAACACCACCACCACCACCACCACCACAGTAAGACATACACCCACGCTATGAAAAGAAAATCACAGCCAACAAACGGCTATTTCTACCCTGGAGAGGACTGTCATTTTCTAGGAGGTCAATTCTCTGAGAGTGGAGAGCTGGGTCAAATGAGCAATGGAAACAGCTGGGGTGTGTGTGTGTGTGTGTGTGTGTGTGTGTGTGTGTATAGAGACTGGACTGCCAGCATGTCCCTGTCGGGGGTGGGTGGGTGGGTGTGTGTGTGTGTGTGTGTGTGTGTGTGTAGAGACTGGACTGCCAGCATGTCCCTGTCCAACCGTGACTTCTACCAATGACAAGTGGTGTGGTGGGAAGTCAGGAGCTCTCATTTCCTGATCGTTAGGTCATGCCACACCAAGGATGGTCTCGGTCAGCTTTCTTGAACCTGAAGAGGGATGTGAATCCATCTGGGAAGACTTACGCCTGGCAAGCGTTGAGCTGGCGAGGCACAAAGCCAGGCACAATTATGTAGATCAACTGAAAAGACCCAGCAAAGTTAGAAGGATGTGAACTGCCTGAGATAAACACAGGTAACAAATATTCTTGAAACAGAGCCTTTTCGGAGTTTCAGTCCAGACAGATCCCAGATCCCGAGAAAGCGTTCCGCAGCCACGCAAGTCTTACAAAGGTGATAAAAAAAAAAAAAAAAGTTTCTATTATCATCTGCACAACAAGAGGAACGCCTAATGAGATGAAAGACACACTGCAAACCTAGAAACTCCTATCCTTTTGGAAGGGCAGTGGGAAAGCGAATTGGGAAAAAAAAAAAATTCCTACCTAGCCCTCCCGTTGCCACCCCTTAATATGAGCAACATTTCCTTTGAGAAATTCTTCTACGGACGGCACCTTCTGAGTGTCTAGTGTGTGCATGTTGTGGCTGTAAACGGGGGAGCGCAAACTCTCTAAATGCAAGTCACCGGGAAAGGCAGGTCACCCGTGTGAAACCCCCCCTCCCCCCAACGCCAACGTTAAGTCAAACGTCTGGAATGCGAAAAGACGAGAAGAACGCCAGGGTCCTTCCATTCCAGAGCCAGTTAGTACACGGAGACGCAGGAGAGAAGTTCACACGCCAGGGGCAGAAGAACCCCGAGGCGGAAAAAAAGTAGATCCACACCACTGTCCGGGGTCTGGGAAACCTCCGCCGAAGAGCAGAAGGCGAGAAAGAGACGCCGGAGGTGGGCTGGCTGGGAAGCCTGAAGGGTGGTGGGCGACAGGACGCCGTCCTCGCCTCCCCCGGCCCAGGGCGGGCGGTCGGGGGGCACTCGGGCCGGGCTGGTGACGAGGGGTGCGCGGGGCTCGGAGCCCGAGGCGCGTCTGCTCGGTGCAGGCAGGGGGCGTGCGGCGGGCCGCTGCCAGAGCGGCCCGACCTCCCCGGCTGGCTCGCGCGGCCCTCACCTTGTCCGAGTCCAGGTCGGGGTCGGCCTGGCACAAACGGTACAGGAAGGATTTCGGGTCCCGGCACAGCGTCTGCCGGGTGGTGAGAAAGTAGGTGCCGCCGACGTTGAGCCGGACCCACTTGGACACGCTGCCGGGGCGCTGGACCAGGGCGCCGAGCCCCGCGCTGCAGCGGCGGCACAGGCCAGCCCCCAGCCCCGCCCCGAGGCCGCCCGGGGCCGGCGGCAGCAGCTCGCAGTGATTCTCCGCCATGATCCCAGCAAGCCCCGCCACAGCTCTCGGCTACCGGAAGCGTCCGGTCTTTAATAGCGTCCTCCGAACTCTGTCCCGCCCATGAGTCCGCCCTCGTAAAGCGCCCGCCCTAGTGTCACGCGGCAGGCGGAAGTTCCGGTCCGGAAAAGCGGCCGGCCGAGCCCCCTTCCGGCGGGAGCCGGGCGTCGGGCTCGAAGGGCTCGCCGGCCTCGGCCCCGCGCGTGCGGCGCGCGGACGCCGGGTTCCGGGCCCGGAATTCCGGTCGCGCGCGCGCCAGACCCGCGCGACCCCATCAAAGAAGAGTTACGCCAGCAAGCTTCTACACTCTACATGCTTTTTTATTACAAGACTACCGAGCATACGTGGAAAATTCATCATCCAGTAACTACGTCTAGAGCACAAATACTTGAAAAAAAGAGAAGAAACAGATTCATTAAATTATGATTAAATCATTGACCAAATAGAAAATTTATATAATAAAGCCAGAAAAAAAGTTGTAAAATATAGTTTACAATAATTATTCACATTCAAGGCTGTACATCAATACATACAACAACGTGGCCCCGAACATGAATTCAATCCAAATAATTCATATATTAGATTTTAAATAACACAGACTGAACTAGAGGCCAACAATAGCCAGCAAATAACCTTATATAAGAATAAAAATACAAAAGTGTATATCCTAATATCATTGCATTATCTGTTTTCATAAGTTTTAAATTTTTGCTTTGCCTGTACATCACAGTTACAGCTACAGACCAGGTAGAGAATTTTACACGTCGTAACTGACTGCCACCAACCTGAAAGACAGCTAACATACTATTGATTCGTCCTATTTTGTATTAAGGAACAGCTACAGCAGTTCTAAATACTGCAGAAATTTTTGTCAACGTCCAATCAAACTTCTGATAACGATAAGAGGCTTTTCACCAGCAAAATGACCCCTTTTCATAAGTCATTCTGCCAGATGGGTTAGGCGAGGGTGGACCAAACACACACACACAAAAAAAGGTCTGCCTTTTGTAAAAAGTTCGCTGTACATGAAGTTTGGTGTTTCTTCCTATTTAAAGAATATGGGTTCTGCGGAAAATTCAGGTGTCCATGTAGGCATGGTCAGGTGCCCATCACAGCTGTCTGAGATACAGATAAAACTGCTCTTGGCCAGAACAGACCAGTTCTCTGCAGGCAGCCTGATTCACAACTCTGCAATCTTGGGCCAGCAGCCTGCGCCCCTCAGAGGCTCTGGGAGTGACTCCTGCCCTGATTCAAGGCACCTGCCATACAGGCTGCCTGAGAGGGAAGGGCTGTGTGAGTCCCCATCCGTTCACTTCAGCTCTGGATAAGAGGAAACAATGTGGAAAATCATATACGGCAACATCTCCAAGAACAGGGCCCTCACCATAGGCTGGGCAGTGAGCACCAGTCTGTGGAGCTGCCAGGGCACAGGGGACTTGGGGTGTCAGAGAAGGGCAGGGAATTCACTTCCGCACAATCCAGCCATAATCTCTGGTGGACTCAAGCAGCACTGAGCACGGCACCTAAAAAGTCTCTCGTGGGCCTCTCCCCTCAGGGTCAGTAGACCCCAAACTAAAGTGGAGAAACTAAGAATGAAACCAAATTGGGTGGTGTGGACTCGATGACCTCCAGACAACCTGAAACAGTGTGAGCGAGGACAGGGGAGAGGTCCTTAAACCCACGTCGGCCAGGACAATTGCACTCCACAGTGAAAAGGCCTGGCCACTGCGCTCTACTGACCCGCTAAGACCTTCCTACTGAGTCCCAGTTTGAAGAGCATGAGGGCAAACAGATTTCTGGAAAACCCAACTGTCTACATGGTCTTTTTCAACTAGAGAATTCGCTCTTTTACAGATTCCAAATGGCCCAATGTACTTTCTGAGTGTACAAACCTAATTACATATCATCCAGTAAGCATGTGGCAAGGTCAGTTCAACACTTTTCCTCTCAGCTGACTGTGCAGATGCACATTCAGTACCATGTGGACACAAAGCGCGAGCTTCTGACAGTATCGCAGAGCACTGGAAAGCCGCGGCAGCGGGGACGGAAGGCTAACTAACATGCAAGCATAACCAGAGTCTTCAATGAAAATAAGGAGATTAGCTTTTGAAAAAAATCTGCCACAAATGGACCTGAAAAAGGATATCATTTTAGCATTATAAAAAAGAAAAGAGCAGTCTTATTAAAACATTCTTTGGAACACACACCTTATCAGAAACGGATTTGTTCAGAGTCTGCAGGACACAACCAAGGAGATTTTGTACTGAACTCTGAGCATCTAAGCATCAGAACAAGATGGAGGAAGAAGGACAAATCACCTTTAAAACAAACTCCTTGACCCCAAAACACTACTTCTAGGAATGGCCGGGGGGCAGGGGGGATCAGAATCAAAACCAAAGATTTAGGAGGATATTCATCACAGCATTATTTAAATAGTGAAAAACCAGAAACCCTCTAAGTGTTTCACAACAGGGAAACGGTCAGATAAATTATGATAAATTTATAACCATTAAGCTCTACAATCACTAAAAACAATGTTTTATAATCATTGCTCATGACATGGAGAAACGCTTAATTAAGATAAATTATCAAGTGAAAAAAGCTGAATGTAGAACAGTGTATGTTTTATGTTCCCAGTTTAGTTTAAAAAGAAAACAAATGTGTCTATGGGAGGAGGGGAGAAGGTGGGCTGTACACCAAAAACGTTCACAGTGGTCTTTTCTGGGTTGGTAAGCCTACAGCTGTTTTTTTTTTTTTTTCCAGAAAACAAAAGTTTTAAGAGAGTACAGAACCACCCGGAGCCCGTGACAGCACGCTGCCCTGGGCCCGTGTAAGGGCCACAAATACCACAGCGTGGCCTTCGGGGGCTGGGGCAGGTGCGGGAGCCGTGGGCTCCGGCATGACCATAAGAGGCATCTTCCCCAAAGCAGATCTGCAACAAACTCCTGAGAGCCAAGGTTCAAAGTGCAGGCCCAACACAGTGCCACGCACTGCGCAGGGCTCTGAGCGCCCCACGGGGCTGCGGGCTACCACCACCCGCCACCTGCGGTCCTGGTCGCGTCCACACAAAGGAGGAGACAACTGCACCCAAACCCGGCTTCCTTGAGTGCCCAGACTGGGGCAAGGACAGCAGGCCATCCGGGCCCTAGATGACCACAGCCCTGCTCCCTCCCCTCCACACCAGCGAGCCCAGGCGGGGTAGGCCGGCTCTGCCTGGCGGGCTCTCGGGTTTGGCACTTACACTTCCCCTTGCCCTCTCTCGGTAGACAGCCGGCTCCTGGATCTGTCAATCAGGGCATGTTCTTTCTCACCTCTGGGTACATCATCTGCATTTCCGTGTAGGTCTGTGCGTGTACTAGACTGACAGTTATGTCCACATCTTAGAGTATAAGGCACCTGCATGCCGGGACAGGAGCTCTAAGGACAAGCTGGATAAAACTAAAGCTGACATGGGGAAGCACAGGGTAGGAAAAGAGAAAGTGTGGGCATTAAAAAGGGGGGTGGGTGGGTGGGGTAGAAGGCTCTGAGAGGAGAAAAGTAGCCTACAGAGAAGGGCTCAGCTGTCACTGGCTCAGGCAAGGGCAGTCACTTCAACTCTGTCAGCTGCAAGCTCAACCTTGAACCCCTCGTTCTCTGGTTCTGGAGGTTAAGATGGAGCTTGGGGGTTAAGCCCAGGAGGTAGTGGCGCCATCCGGGAAGAAGGCAACGGCCGATGCGTCTCGCCCAGAGCAGCCCAGCCAAGTGCTCTTGGGAAAGCCCAATACCAGCTCTGCTCGGGTCCCTGTAACCAGATCCAAGAATGCTGTGCAAGAGCAGGCCCCTAGGTCTCCTAACGGCACACCCACAGATGTGGGGGCTCTGACAAGGTTAAGTTATCAATATAGGAAATAAGCTGGAAACGAACTTCCTGAAAGGGCCAAGCTAGACTGCCGTTTTGAAAAGCAGGTGAACACACATAAGCCTTTGCAAAGGTAAGAAAGAGGAAGACAGGAGACTGGCCTGCGACTCCAGCCCAGGGCAGTGTCCCGCTCCTTGAGGCACCCCAAGGGCAAGCACGCCCCCCGACACCTTGGCACCCACCTAGGTGCAGGCATACACACTCACATGCTCATGTGAAGCTCTCGCAGAGTGGTGCACACAGCCTGAGTGGAAGCCACTGGCAAAACCTGGCAGCGACTCTGCTCCCATCCACCGCACCCCACAACCCCCTCCCTGGGCCGCCTGGAGGTGGGATATCCACAGCCACACTCCCCTCCCAGGCTAACAAGGGCCACTCTTATCACTAAGTCAGTTTGAGAAGGACTCTTTTCTCTGGATTTGGGCCACCTGTCAACACAGGGTGACGGATGTTTTTCCTCAAGACAGGAGACGGGTGGGGGAGGGAGGAGGCAGGGAGCGGGGAGGAGGCCAGAGTCTTCTGGGAGAATCTTTTCCGTGGAAGCCTTCTGCTGGTGCCTTCCTGAAAGTCTCAAGGAAACCCTTCATCCCTTAGGGACAGAGGTGTGTCTGTGAGCAGCCTGCAAGCAGGGAGCCTCCCCGTCTCCAACAGGGGACTGAAGACTGCCCTCCAGGGACAGCCTGAGCAGGGAGAGAAATGCACAGCGGCGCCCTCCAGGACAACAGGCATTCTCTGCCCAGGGAGCGGCAGCAAAGAAAACCAAAGGACCTGTAAATCTTGGACCCCCCATGGCATACAGCTTCGGGCCGTCTCTGAGGAATACAAGGAAGCCTGAAACCAGGGGGTGAGCAGACAGGGTGCTCAGGCCCCGGTGTGGTGTTCCTACCCCTCGTGCAAGGGGAGCAACGCTTTCTTCCAGGCCAGGTCTGCACCTAGATGGGGAGCAGATGACCTGGCAGCACGAGGTGGCTTCCAGGCCCTCGCCGCAGAGATGTGCCAAGTGCTCAGAGTTATGCAAGGAGAATGTTCAATCACGACGGAAAGGGTGCGTGTGGCAGCCGGGAGCCTGCTGGCGCCCGGAGTCCCTCAGCCCTGCTGAACCCGCGAAGCTCACCTCGGAAGAA